TCCAACCCACTTAAAGCGTCTTTCCATAGTTCTTTCATCAGATGGAAGTTGGTCTGTTCTCTCCCACAGTAGGTTGTTGCTGATGGTATCCGGTCAACAGGCAATGAGTATTTTGTGTAGACAATTGTTTAGAAATGCTTATACTGCTTTGATGATGGTTATGGTAGTTCTTCAAGTTTTAGTTCCGTAAGATGAATACCAAAGTAGTATAAAAGGAATCAAATGTAGTCATAGTAGTAAGGAAGATTAGGAAGAGAATATGATTAGAGATAGGAAAATGAATTTACAGAATAAAATAAGCATTTTAAGACAAAGAGTGAATGAATCTACGTTACTGTGATCGATTTTCAGCGAGTTCATACAACATATTCAACCGTTGGTTAAGATAATCAAGTGGACCTCAAGCAGGAGGCAGTCTACATTTACTTACACGGATCAGTTCGACGGTCAATAACTACGTGAACTGATGTTACGCCATGGCTTAACCATCCGTAGTATTTTCGAGCCTACTTCGATGCGCGATGATAGAGACCAGATATGAACAACCAATTAATAAAGATGAAAAATTCTAGGTATTAGGTAGGGTGAAAGATTGAACGTGCTGCTTTTGTAAAGACCTCAGCTATGATCTGTGAAACTGATAAACCTTCTCCAGTACATAAGTTTTTGATTTGTGCTCCCTTTAAGGTTGATTGTCCTACTGTTTAGCTAGTCCTAAAAATATTTATGTTTGCCCGTGTAATCAGCATTGATATGATATTCCAGTGCTGAGCTGATGATATTTTTGTACTCATCTATCAAGGTAAAGTTAACATTCAATGATTGTAAAGACTGATCCCATATCTTGTTCGAGCTGTACACATGATTCTTTCAGCCTATTCCTACACTCATAAACACTGAGCATCGAAATAGGTAGTGACTGGACATACACAATACTTGTTTCAGTCATCTTAGTCTATGAAGACTCAATATGTTTAACTAGTACCGTACGCCTGAACTCAGCATAGTACACCTGGTTGTTCCAACGTAATGTGAGCAATGTTTTAAAGACTTACGTGATCGAATGCTGTTTAGAATAATACTGATTTGATTGGATGATTCTATCCATTTGTAAGTAGTATAGCTGAATTAACAGTCTTTCTTTTTCTTCATACAGACGATATACGGTGAATGCTGTATTAGAAGAGCGCTTGTTGTCAACATGGGAAGACGATGGACCATTCTAGTGTGTGTTGACATAACGTCTGTACACACGCACACATGTATTTATGTAATGAATAACGATAATTATTATTATAACAAAACGGTAGCACAATTAATTGTAGATAACTTTTCGTTTATTCATGTCCCTTATTTACTATTTTATTTCGCATTTAAATTTTATAAAAAAACCTTACACTTGTCGAATACTTTGCAAAGAAAAACAAGCAAACAAAAGAACCAATCATAAGTCTAATTTTCATGAAACAAAAATCGTTTTATTATAAGTCAATATTCACTTCGGAAGTAAAGGAGTTTATTGTTTAGGGATGGGGAAAAGTTTCTGAATTTTAATTTAAAATGTAACATGAAAATATTGAACAAGCCCACCCGTAACTAGCTTCAAGATGTAATTCCTGGAGTTCTAGTGAGAAGCCGTGACCACTAGAGTTCAGCTGTGTCGGGTGCGAGATGGTTGTCCACCTCAGGCAGTGGATGAAGGGTAGCAAAAGATCATGGATTGATTGAACTCAGATACTAACACCTTCGAATGCCGGTTCAGTGGTCTAGAGATTAAGCGTTCGTACGAGACTGAAGTCTCCGGGTTCGAGTTCCGTGTGCAGGGTCGTGCATGAGCACTGTTGAAGAATACTGTACTAGGATAAAATGACCGTTCAGTGATGGTCTAACTTAGATCGACTCGTGAATCCAACTGCAAGAATTCAATAAATTGTTAGCGATTGCCTGACTCGGTTTAAATTAGATAAGATGTTGGATATGTTCAGTGACATTTAGACCATAAAAAGTGAATCGTTGATATTATTATTATTATTTCAACACATAGATAATGGTACAAAGAGGCACCAAATACATATGCGCCACACAAATCTCATTCGATATGTGTGAGGGCTGTGATACTGCCCGGGTGCCCAAACCGAAGCAGGTGGTTTTCTTAGGGGGCCACACCCCGAGCCTTCGACCTGAAGGTCTGATCCACAAGGCAGTGGAGCATCGTAAGGAGATGCAGTCCCATGGAAGCCGGTGACCAACAATTGGTTCATTCGCCATTTGTTCCCGCAGGATACTGGAGCCCATGTGCACCATTGGTTTGGAATCCGGTTAAAGCGCCGGACATTCGCTTTTCGTCCTCTCATTTTCGTAAACAACACCCCCGCCACGAGAAGGCAGTGAGTAGGACTTCCCTGGCAGAGGCTATATACGCGTGGCCGTGTGAGAGTATTTCGAGAGGGAGAGCGGACTCTCCCCACTCTCGGCCGTACCAGGGCATTTGATATTAAGAATGGTCTTAGAGTGATAGTGAAGTGTTTTTCGGTCTAAGTTTCCATACCATATCAACACGGGATGGAACGAACAAGATGAATAGCAAAGGAATCAAAATAATGTAGTAGTACCTTCAGCAGTGCTTGAAGTCACATCTGTTTACAAGGATGATAGCGAATTAGTATTTATTCAATATAAATTCAAGACGAGAACTTTACAAAAGTGAAAAACGCGTTACTAATGTATGGTAGTGGAAATAAATGTGATTGACCTTTGCGTGTGGGCAGACAAGTGTTCAGCCTACTAACTATTAAATATATGTGATTTCCTTTCCGCTCATCGATTTCTACTCCAGACTCACTGACAGTAACTGGTTGTAGTCTAGCGTTTGCTCTTGTTCTCTTTTTGATCGTGAATTGCGTGTCTAAAATAACGTGACCTAGTCTCTGGTCGACGGACATTGAGCATCTTGCGTAGACAATTGTTTATAAATACTCATACTGCTTGGATGATGGTTGTGGTAGTTCTCCACGTTTCGGCTTCATATAGTAGAACTGTCTTTACGTTCGTATTGAAGATTGTGACTTTGATGTTGGTTTTCAGACAGTGGTTTTGAGTTCCGTATGTTCTTCAACTGTAGATATGCTGTCCCTACTTTGCCCATTCTCACCTTTTCGTCTGCATCAGATCCTCCCTATTCATCAATGATGCTGCTCAGGTGCGTGAAAGTATCCACATCTTATAGTTTCTCCATCAAGTGTAACTGGGTTGGTTGATGTTCTCTGTGCTATATGAGGATATTGGTTTTTCCATTGTGTATGTTGCTGTCTGTGCACGATTGATCAACACGGGATTTGACCTGTCGATCTCGAAGCTGGACGCCTAGTGAATCCTTCATCCGGTTCAGCAACACTGTTGAAAACGTCTCCTGGTATCGACAGTGTGACGCCTGTGTAGTGCTTACATTTGCTGAGAAATCCTTTCTTTGGTATCTTGATGAGGTACCTTTCTTCCCAGATGTCTGTTATGGAAGTTTGAACAAATGAGATATCGTATATGTGCATAAATTTAGCTAAGTGAAAGGTTAGACATAGTATAATAAACGTAAGAGACATGAATAATAACCATACGCTAACTAATAAATCCCTATTAGATAATTAAGTTTTTCATTTTCGATAACTGAGAATATCAAACTTGTATGTGCGGTCCACTGAATCACTAATATTTGCAAATTGAGTATAGCACCTGACCTAATACAAGAACATATTCAATTAGTAGTACCACTTGAATCAAGAGTTTTAGCTAACCAACAGTTCCAAAGTCTGCATTAGTCATTAGGGAATTAACCTAATAGAGACGATCCAGGTATTATTTTGTTTTGACATGGTGAAGATTTGTAGCTTAGGTGGATGCTTTTGATAGAGTTTTGTCCTCTGAAAATGACTAAACCATCCAGCTCAGAGAACGAAACCCCATCAAAATCATTTTGTTCTACATCGATACGTCCGAACCATAAAATCAGAACGTTTAGCGCGAATGGTTCGTGACAGACACTTATCGATTGACTATTGGATGTTGATAAGTCAATTTTGTACGAGATACTCAGTTTGAGAAAATGAAAATCGATTGGAGGAAGTATTTATTTGACGTTTCTAGATATTCATCAACAATTGTGACGTTAAGTGGGTGTATTTGATAAAGTTTGTAATGAATAAGGACTTAATTTCGTGGATTAGTTGAAGCTAGACATTAACACCGTTGGATGCCGGCTTAGTGGTCTAGTAGTTAAGTGCTCGCGAGATCAGCAGGTCCTGAGTGGATCGTGGATGCACACTACTGAGGAGTCCCACAATAGGACGAAACGGCCGTCTAGTGCTTCCAGGTTTTCCATGGTGATCTAGCTTCAATTGACTTATGATCTCAACAATTGAGAATAAGGACCCAATAACATTGACGAACATGTAGTGACTAATTAGTGAATTTAATGGAATCATAAAAAAGGTCGGCTAGACTTTAATTTATGGACGGACCAATCAGGTATAAGATAACAGGTCTCGGATTTTGGCGCGAAATCCACCTATCAACTTGGTAAAATAGAGTTTCGGCATTATAGCCAATGTCAGTTCGTGATGAAAACCTTAAATATAATTCCTAACCTTAATCGTCAACTGTAAATCACAATTCGAAATCCTCGCAAGGTTTATAATCCTTATTTGGTTCTATTTATTAGGTGGACACTATCAAGGTCAGTCCAGAGTCGCTCAAAGGTCGTCCATAAATTATAGTCTCACCAAAAGGTCGATCACATCATGAATTTAACTACAAAGAAGAGTTACACGGTTTCAAGCTTTTAGATCCCGTTCATGATAATAATTATCACATTCTGTAAGTTACTGACAGAGTTTCCTATTTAAACAACCCCAATTAAAGTTTGTAAAATATCATATGACTCGGAGGTGACCTACAAATGTTCATGCCTAAGAATAAAATATTTATAACCTATGAGAGAAATCGCAGTATCATTTTAGAATAGCATATATAATAAGTTTATTTCAAAAAAAATATTTCAAATCGTTATTGTATAATTAATTGGTTGAAACTATATATACGAAAAATATAAAAATCTACTATGAAGATAATTAAACATAGTTATTAATGAAAGCTCAACTTAGAATTTCCTGAAGAGTAATTATTACAAAATATTTTAAAGAATGAACAAACATGGAGATTGGTTCTCTCTGAAATTTCATACTCATTAATACTACTTAAAAGTAGTTTGAAAAATGTAAACAAAATATTGGGAGGTTAAATGGAGAGTTGGACAAAAAGACTAAAATTATTGTAACATTGTTAAATTAATGAAAAACAATAATACGAATTTCTATCGAGCATTTATTTTCGGAGGATAACTAGAATACAGAATAGATGATACGATAACAGTTAATGTGCCAAAAATGAAACTATTACTCAAATGCATCCCAAGGAATACAACAGAGAATGCACATGATAAAATAATTGACACGCAACAGGCGAATGCCTACAAGAAAGAAACAAAGGAAATGACACATAAATCTAGATAATAATGAAATAGAATTGTTGATTAACGTAACTAATTATAAAGACAGAAAATATAAACATTAACCAAATCGTAGATAAAAAAACTGTAGTGAGGTTTACAAGCTTGTATATCGTAACGGCTAGATCAAGATATATCAAATAGACATTCAAGTTTGTGGTCATGAGCTAGTGTAGTTATGAGTCTGCACCACTGAAAAGTTCCACACTAGTGCAAAGCAAATGCTATATGGTCCCTGGTTCTAATGGTGGTCTCCACGTAATGGTAATTTGTGACTGAAACTAATTCATATGATTAACACTAAATTAATAAATGTAAATCAACTACTCAGAACTTGTATTTTTTCGTCAAATCGGAAGAGAATAGTTATTGATTAAAACTTAAGGAAGGAGAGTGGCAGGAAACGAAGAAGAAAGAAAAGGAAAAATAAATATTACTAAAGTAATAGAATGGTTAGATTCAAAAATTAAGATGATCTGTTACATTCAATAAGATTTGGGACCAGGTATCCGGAATTAGGAATATTTACAACTGCTTGCATATTATTCACATGAAAGATCACTAGTCTGGTTTAATATAACTGGGAAGTTCAGTGTTATATTTTAATAAATACGAGTTAATTAGTAATCTTATTATGGTGGAATGGAATTGAATGATAGAATGTTGAAATGATTTCGGCAGTGGAATAAGTAATTTGCCTATCGAACTAAATCTCAAACGCCCAACAAACTAACGCTTAGAAGACAAAGCCGCTGGTTAACTGACTATATAACATCAATGAAAATTGAAACTTTTGTTAATGTACAAGGTATGCTCAAACCATGATAATTAATGTGACTATAAGTAACCTGTTAGATAGCAAATGAACAAGGTGAATCCACCATCTGCGTACAGGGATTGAACCAAAGACCTACAATCTCATGTGCGAACGCCTAACCTCCAGACCACTGAGCCGGCGTTCCACGTCATTAACGTCCAACTTCAAGCAACCCGTCGTTTTGCGCAACTCTTTATCCATTGCCTGAGGGGAACAACCGTCTCATACTCGACAGAGTTGAACTCTATTGCTTACGGCTTTTCACTAGAACTACAGGAGTTACATCTTTAAGCTAGCCGCTAGTGAGTACATGATTGTTATTAGTATGAGCAGTTGTGTAGACTGAGGTACTTTCAGTTAAAATCACGAACTAATCTTAGCTAGACTACCACTCAGAACCTAGAAGCGCTAGATGACCGTTTCTTCCTACTGTAGAACTGTTCAGCAGTTCGCATCTACAACTATGTGCGCAGGAGTCGAACCTAGGGTCTTTGGTTTCGATCTGAGTTGTGTTAATTCCGTACTTCTAAGGCCTTACGCCCGGAGACGGAAATCAGTAGGATGAGTTGTGTGCTATCTTTCGACCTAACCCTTTCTAAACTCATCCTGTTTTTGGAAGGCAGCATCGCAGGAGATGCCGGTTGTCTGGAAAAAACACTTTACTACCATCACAAACCTATACGGTTGGTAGTATAACTTTGCTGTAGGACAATGGTTTTGGCATCCTTATTTTTATTACTCTTCACTCAAATCATCTGGGATGGTGTGGATTAAGGAAACGAATGTTTCGGGCAATATAGACTGGTTAGATCGTTATGATAAGCAAACCCAAACGCCACATCAAGATAGCGGCTACGTTCGGGAATCAAATAACAACTACGTAAATCAAAGTCACAAACTAATTAAAGAGGTTTTAATTTTTGTTGTTTAATACCCACATTAAATCTGAGAAATATATAGTCATAAGACTAGTAATCAATTAAAAAGTCACCCCTACAAGTATTTATTTCACTGTCGTTTTTATGAATAACCTTTGCTTTGACCAGTAAAAAAAATGTTTTCAAGTTGTCATTGGATTGGTTACAGTAGTGTGATATTTCACAGCTTGCTACATTGTTAGTATAAACAAACACAAAAGTCTTATTCCAGTTTTTTTTAAGGTATACAACAAACGGGTTATGGGAATAAGATATATATATGATTATAGTTCAAATTTCGGGAAATATAGCGCTGCACAACACTTTCTCTCATGATACTGTTTATGCTTCCTACTAGTCCATCTTCGTGGTAAGAAAGAATGTCAACTCTGAGGCATGAGCTCCTTCTTGATTGTTAATCGGTCACAACGTAGGACCTGTACGTGTGTACATCGGTTCAAGTTGTCATACCCCATTAGCACATCGATATAAAGTTATCAGGTCAAATCCCAGAATAGAAGAGGTAGTAACAGCATCAGTTGTAATAAGAAATATTAGGCACAGAAGATACGACTCGGAAAAGAAATATAAATTAGCGGGACAAATAAAAATGAATTTAGAACCCCAGGATTTGGGAGAAAACAAAGGATGATTTCACCAGCACCTTCGCAAACGATTTGAGCCATGTCATTCAAAGTCTCTAACCACTGGTTACGATAATCACACGAAACTCAACCAAGTAGTCTGTATCAATTAACATGGATAAGTCCAATTGTCAGTGACTTCATGGACTGATGCCATGTTTTGGTTTGACCGCCCCATATTTTCTTCCAACCTGCTCCTGAACCAGAAAACATAGCCTGTCAAGGTAGATGGTGGTTGGGCATACGTAACACATGTCCCAACCACCTAGGTTGATGAAAATTTACTGCTTTACCAATCCTTGCCTGGTACTCTATTCCTAACCTAGCTAATGTTTACCTCGTGGTCCCAAAATACACGAGAGTTTGTTGTTAGTTCCGTTTCTAAGATGACTAAAATCATATCCAAAGTAAAACCCGTTATATGGTTACATAGATTTACGCCAATAAAGTTCGTCGTTGTAGTTGTTAAATCTACAAAATTTACTTCCCAAGGTTGCTTTGACGTTGTCATTAACGAACAAAAATTTCGTTTCGAATAAACTAACCAGAATGGAATGTGTCAGTCCAGGTACATATTAGTCAAAGAAAGATACCAGTTATCATGTTTACACTCAAACTCTTTTCATGATCATCGAGTCAGATTAAACCCTGTCTAAAGTTAAAGTTCAAAATTATAAATAAATGTCTAGATTCAAGTAAAAACTATACTTGTATACTACTCATTCTTTTCGTGTACTTAATAATATCATGTTTAACAGGGTAAAACTTTGTATTATATAAACAATCAATATGAAAAGAAAATACGAAATTTACTTACTTTAAGAATATTGTTAGCATATTTAACTACTAAAGCTACTAATAAACCACCGAATGCATGTAGAAATACAACTATCCAAACAAACCAATCAAAACCATGAAAATAGCCATTTTGTGTAATATCAGTCCAATCGGTCAATAGTTGTACAGGTATACCAATGATAATTGATGCAAAAGCTAACTCAATATTACGATGCCATATAGATTTGTTGGTATTTTTCAGAAGCTTAATTATGAAAGAAGATAATTGAAAAATCAACAAAGATGATACAAAAAGTACATGATGAGTATATATGTATGAGCGCTAATACCATTAGGATGCATAAAGATATGGTTGAGAGGATTGATGTTAGGCGGTTGCAAGCATTCTTTGTTTGGTTAGATGTATCTACAATTTCGAGAAAAATGACGCGTCCAGTGAAGTTGATTGCAGATACACCTTGTTGACAAGTAAAAGCTAGTATAAAACCTAGATTAAGGAGTTTGTTGCCGATTCTCTTCAATCATTAATCTGGATTAAAACATATTGCATGAGATATCAAGCTACCAGAGATTTTAACGATTTAAATCTGCTCTTTATGATAGTCGTAATCACCCCGTAAGAAGATGTATTTCCATGCATCTCGTATATGATACTTTTGAAATCGTTGACTAAATAGTGGGTATGAATGTAAATGACAATTCATGATTTTCCTTGACGTTGAGTCACTTTTCAATAATGCCCGACTTACACAGATTACTTGTTTTGCATACAAAAACACATAGATGATAATATGAATGGGTGTGTTTACTAAAAGGATACGCAGAACCTTTATTCTCAACCGATAGGTAATAAATACTGATGTTAAGAAGTAAAAGAATGAAATTATGCACAAAACTTTGTCGATTAGATAAAACAAGTTATCTGTTGTTAGTAGATTTTGCATCAGTTCACTGCATATGAACATGTAGTTGTCTATATAATAGTATTTTTGACGTTTAGCTTAACTGGTGTCAGTGTTACACTTATCGATGAACTTACGGGATTTCGCTTGGTTGGATCACTGTTTATTATTGTTTTTTCTTTAAGGCTGTGAAGGTTATCCAAGGTAAGAAATCTCTTCATATTATGTAACTCATTTCAGTCAGTCAGCCAGCTACAACGTAGGACTAGACATATATATGCATCGGTCCAAGTTGTCACACCTCATAAACACAACAACATGAACACCAAATTCATAAAACCAGTTACTTCAATGGTAATAATATATAAAAGGAGATTGCATATGAGGATATAATGTAGGAAGAAAGAAAGGTATGAAGTAATTTTAATCTTACGGCTTAAGGGAACACAAAGAGTGTATACGCCTACGCTATGGTGATCGATTCTGAGCCATGTTACCCAAAGTCTAAAATCCTTAGTTGTGATAGTCACGTGGACCCCAAACAAATAGTCTGCATTTACCAACATGGTTCATACCAGAAGTTAATGACTTTATGGATTGATTCCACGTTTTGGTTTGGCCACCCCTAACTTTCTTCCAACTGTCTCCAATACTAGTCAGCATTGCGCGTCGTGGTGGTCGGGCGTGCGTAATACGCGATCTAACCATATCAGTTGATGTGGATTCAAAACTTCATCAACTGATTTATCATCATTCTTTGATATCTTGCGTTCACCTCACTATTACTTACCCGATGATCCCAAAAGATGCATGCGGGAAATGTCATCAGACACCATTTACCAAATAATGATTTACTCACTCACTTTGAGCACACTATTTGTATGTGCGGGATAATAATGCTTACGTATCTGTCCATATAAAAGTGGGGCGGGGTTCGAACAGGTGAATTACTGGCTGAAAACCGATTATCTTAACCTCTGAGCCACTATCCTCACTCATATTAGAAGTAATTATCAATAATGAGTGTATGTACAGCACTTTCTACTCAAAAAATATGTATTTAAGTTTTAATAACGCTTTCATGTACGGATTATCTATCCCAAATTTCTGCTGTTCGCAGAAACATCACCCCGGAATGTTGGATGCCAGTAAGTAGGTTCTGCTTATTATTAAAACAGAAAATCGAATGAAGTTGTATTGAAAACTTACTCTCGATTCATTAGAATTTGCGGACAATAATTAGTCGTATTGAGATTTTGCCACAAGTAACAAATGTGGTTGATAGTAAAATCAACATTGCCCCCTCTCATACCGTTCAGTTACTAAGGTTGTATTTCTCTGTAGGACACACTTTCGCAACTTTTTGATATTAATTAGTTGTAATCTTACAAGGTTCATATACAAAAACTTTGAAATATACTTGAATGTGATTAAGAGTTATATTCTCGCTCAGTTGGTGGTTAACACAGGATACGTCAAGTTGACTTAAATAAAGTTTTTGAAGCTATCTGTTTTATCACATCAAATTTACGACGTGGTTTACGGGTTCGTCTTTTGCATACTGCTGAACCCATATTCAAAAGCCTGACCTTTGTACTTGAAAGAATTTGGTACAATCCCTCTCTCTATCTTGATCATCGACATAAATCATACCATAGTAAATTATAGTGGAACATTGATCCATTCCTCTTTTTCTAAATTTGTTTTAAACTTATTTCATCTTTGTATTATTACACCATCTTAATATTTATCTCTTTATTTTTGTATAACTATTATTAAGTTGACTTTTTCTTAAAATATTTGTTAAATTCTCTATGAAATATTATGTAATTTGACAACTATTGAACTAAAACATGGATATATGAACGGAGAATACTCTTTTCAATAAATTTAATGAGTCTAGTTACATATCTAAATCATTATCCAAAAAGTGGCCAGGTTTAAGGTAAATACATTGTTTAAAATAACAGCATTTGAATTTAGGATTGCTTGCAAAATAAGACGTAAATTGTTAATATTGAGATGTTATCAGTATAGGGATTTGTGGAACTTGTAGTATTTTCATAGTTGAAATCACGAGTTGATCCAAGCTAGACCACCATTGAAAACCTGAAAGCACTGGATGGCTGTTTTGTCTGAGTATGAGACTCCTCAACAACGTTTTCAATTTTCACAAATAATTAACTTATCCTCTCGATCTTGTAAGCAGCTATCACGATTAACTGCATTATATCATGTTACAAACAACTGATCTTTTTAAAAGTCAAAACATTTAATTAATAATAGGGTCTACAAGGTTATAATGGTTAATGGATACAGACTTAAGACTGTAATTTAACTCGAAATCTATGGATATATCCATTATCTATTAACATTTATTAGTTGCATAGAGAATAATAATGTAACTAATTAACCCAGCGTAGTTTACCTCGAGCCAGACCCTACATTGAAAATGACCAAAGAGTTAATCATAATATCTAACTGCCCAAACCATAATGTGACTTAAGCCGGTGAATCACTAGTCAAAATAAATTACTGAACAGCTAAACCATTGTTGAACATTAGTTCCATATAATTTTATCCTATGTGGTCAACCACATCGAAGTAGATTAATTGGAGTGCAAGTACATGACATGATTTATGTGATATATCGGATCATTGAGTGAATGTGATAGATTGCAAATAACATGTGATTTGTTAGCTTATCAAAAGATAAAAGGATTGCATTTATATACGAAATTATGACAGAAACCAGATATCTGTTATATAGGGAAAAATCACTCTACATTGAATTACGACAATAAAGTTGAAAAATGGTTGGTTTATTCTCTTCTCACAAGCTTCAATGAAATAACTATAACCCAATATATAACATAGCGATTTATAAATATTTAATCACTCTCTAATGTATAAAATAACTGAAATGATATAAATAGTCTCTGGATAGAATAACTTACCATTTCAAAAAATACACATGCCAAACCAGACAATATGGATGCCCATACAGCACAAAATAATCCTAATGGAGGATTATATGCTGTAGGTGGGTGATTAGTTTTATTAGAATTAACGGGACTTTCAACTGTTGCAACTCCAATAAACAATAAAACCAAAGCAAACCATTGCATTTTACTAACCGGTTTCCGAAGAATAAGCATACTGAATAATGCTGTAGTAAACAATTTCAACTGATAAGCCACCTAAACTAATAAATATTCTATTACGAAATATTATTAATCTTACCTGAAATGTGACTGCATCTAAATTACTCAAAGCTGTTATAAGGAGACGATTTTGAATGACATATATTATAGCAGGTATAAAAGTCATTAAAACATCTAGTGGATTGTGTTGTATGAGTTTTAAACAATTTTTTAAATTCCCAGTAATGCTTAGAACTGATACACATGTCAAGAATTTCAAACATTCGCTCATTATTACCAAAGATGAAGAATTGAACATTTCTGTTGGTCGTGATCTTGCATGACGCATACACAGAATATAAAGTAGATTTTGAAATACGAGAATGAATAAGCTTAAATATTTCATTGTAACCATCCGCAACATTGCACTTGTCAGAGTATGCTCCTAAAAACCTAAAATACATATAAATAAACAGGTAAACAACCATCGTACATGAATTGAGGTTTCCACAAAAGAGGTTACACATCTAAGGTACGGAAATTCTGAATTTTTCTTTATTTATTTTAACACAGATATTGGTACAAGGAGGCACCAAATACATGTGCGCCACACAAATCCCATTCGATGTGTGAGGGCTGTGGTACTGCCCGGGTGCCCAAACTGAAGTAGGTGGTTTTCTTAGGAGGCCGCGCCCGAAACTTCAACCTGAAGGTCTGATTCACAAGGCAGTGGAGCAACGTCAGGAGATGCAGTCCCATGGTAGCCGGTGACCAACGGTTGATTCATGCGCCATTTGTTCCTTCAGGATACTGGAGCCCATGTGCACCATTGGTTTGGAATCAGGGTTTTCCAATTCCCCTAGGTGGACTCTCCATGTTCACCAGCCCAGTTAAAGCGCCGGACATCCTCTTTTTATCCTCTCAATTTTGTTAACAACACCCCCGCCACGAGAAGGCAATAAGTAGGACTTTTCTGGCAAAGGCTATATACGCGTGGCCGTATGAGAGCACTTCGAGTGGGAGAGCTGACTCTATTCTGAGCCATATCTGATAACGTTTCTAGTCACTGTGTTGCACAATCTCTAGGACCTCAACCAGAGAGTCGCGAAGGACCAACAGAACCCATTCATGTACAGCTTTCTTTCATACCACGACATATGTCACAACTGATCATTTTTCCGCCTTTCCTAACCAGTTCCAGCGTCAGCAAATAATACACGACGTGGAAATCTCTTGGACGACATTTGTAGAACATGTCCAAGCCACCGAAGCCGACGTTTCAAGGTGGTGACATCAATTGGATTATCGTCGCTGTGCCCGAACACACGATGCCGAACCTCTACATTACAAACATGGTGTTGCCACTGGATGTCAGCAGTTCTTCGGAGACAACGATGATTGAGCACGGAGAGTCGTCTAACATTCTCAACTCGGGGAGGCCAGGTCTCACAGCCGTAGAGCGAAACCACTCTCACCGACGCGTTGTAGATCCGACCTTTTACAGCCAGAATAACATCATGAATGGGGCCAGAGATGGCCCAGATTGGTATAAACTGCTTTGGCTTTCGTTATATGTGAATTGATCTTACCACTCACACCACCACCAGCACTTATGCACTACCCAGATACACGGACTTCTCGACTACTTCAATCTACTCACTACCCAAGGTGAGTGCATGATCAAGGTCCTCCCAGTTTGGTAAAAGTGATTTACACTTCGTAGGTGTAAAGCACGTACCATACCTACGGTTACTAACTGCCAACTCATTAAGTGAAGATTTCATGGCATGGATATCATCGCACAGTAAGACAATATCATCCGCATACTCAAGGTCGAAAAGTCTTTCTCCAGGCAACAGATCCACATCACAATTACCTACATCCATCAGAGCTGTTTCCAGAACGTCGCCGATAGCAAAATTGAAGAGGAATGGTGAGATTGGACAACTCTGCCTAACCCCATTGCTTGAACGGAACAATGGAGAGATGGCTGTATGCCCTCACTCTACCTGAGGTGTTTGTATATAAGGCTTTTAAGATGTTAGTAAACTCCTCAGGCACACTCTTCTTCAGTAGACAATCCCAGAGAGCAGTCTTGCCGAACGAATGGAAGGCAGTCATGATGTCAAGAAACACTACGATTGTCGGCCTGTGATAAGTATGACGGCGTTCTAACATTTTGGCGAAGGGTGAAGATACGGTCAAAACATCCTCGGGTTTTGAACAATCTACGATGTATGACGGAAGACAATAGTTCGGACGCAATCGGAAGTAGACTTGTCCCCCAATAATTGTTACATAAACGATGTGAACCCTTTTTAATGATATGAACAATTACCGACCCATTACACGATGTTGGGATAGACCTTTGTGAACAACTCGGTCAGTCCCTTAACCAGAAAGTCACCACCATCCTTAAAAAGGGCCGGAAGCCAGTCATCTGATCCCGGTGATTTGTAGCGCATCAAGAGTTGGAGTTTGTGCAGAGATATCAAGTCAAAACGGTATAAGAAGCAACTAAAATAGGCCGAAAGAAGTGATAATTGTTGTCTTTTTGTATATCTTTTGGAGCTACCAGTATTCGGTGATAAGCTCTGACTAAATTGTCCTGCTTCGATTTGGGCATCCAGGCGAAAGTCCAGCCTTCACACAAGTCTAATGACGAAGTGTAGCGTATATATATTTCGTAATTCGTTGTACCAATGTTTGTGTTTAAATAAATAATATATATAATAATCTGGCTAAATTAACTTCAGAAAACAACTTTCCGTGGAGATGAAGAGCAAAACCAAGAATATTCGGGAACAGGAACTTATCTGGTTCTGTAAAGTCTCTTCGATTTCAATGCGTTGGTGACCATGGTCACAACAAGGACGCCAACCCCTATATTTTTGATTACCATATGCGATATATGTAATACAAACTAAACTACATAAGGTATTTTGTCAAGATTATAAGAATCATTAAATCTTACATGTCATGCGGAATATATATCCATGAGGATCTCAGCCTGATTGGTTGCATTAAGAAACGATCAGAAGTAGAAACAAATGAACGCCACCGGAACGGTGAACAACCTTATATCGTTTATGCTTGACTAACTTGCTTATTGCGAGAGAGGACTGGACAGCAGCCCTAGATAACGGTCTGTCTGTCGATGTAGATTTTAGTAAAGCATTCGACAAGGTTTCACACGTAGGTCTTATGCAGCTCACGAGCTTCGGAATGATAGGTATTGTACATGAGTGGATATGAAACTTTTTATGTGGCCGCAGACAGAGAGTGAGGGTCAACGGAACGCTATTCAATTGGAAGCCGGTCAAAAGTGGTGTACCCCAAAGCACCATCTTAGGCCCTCTGCTCTTCTTTCTCTACGTTAATGAGTTACCGCTGTTGCTTAGGTCGTCGACATTATTGTTTGCGGATGACGTAAAAATGTGGAGAACAATAAAAAGTGCGGCTGATCATCTGGATCTTCAAGCTGACTTAGACGATTTAGTTAGATGGGCTCGAGAGTGGGGCTTAGAAAACAATGCTGGGAAAAGTGTGATAATGCACATCGGTCACGGTAATAGTAAGCGTTATACTATTGAGGGTAAACCTCTTCCATGTGCTCAAGAACATAAAGACTTAGGAGTAGTAATAAGTCATGATTTAAAAACAACTATGCATTGCAAAGCAGCCGCTGTCAAAGGTTTTCGTTCGTTATGGTCACTTCACCGAGCGTTCAAATCTTTTGACGAGGAAACGTTTCGAATCTTATATCCCATATATGTAAGACCACATTTAGAGTACTGTATCCAAGCAGCTGGCCCGTGTCTGATAAAGGATACTAACTCCCTTGAGCGTGTCCAGCGTGTGAAAACGAAATTAGTGAAGGGTCTTTCTAGACTTCCTTACGATGAGCGTTTAAAACACCTAAACCTTTCCACCTTGTCGTATCGTAGGACACGAGGTGACCTTATACTGGCATTTCGTATCTTTAGTTATGATTTAGGTAGGTGTCATTACCAAGGTTTGATTTGATAATTTCGAATAAATTGAGCATTGGGTTCATTGTTATAAATAAAAATAATATATTTGTAATATCCCAATGAGTAGAAAATTGGATTTTCTGACGTTTCGTGACTTAATGTAAGTCACTTCTTCAGAGAACAAATAACCAAATTAAAATTTATCCAAGTTTAAATAGTACAACGGAACAATGCAAGAATAATATTGGATCAATCAAAAACAAGACTTGTTTTTGATTGATCCAATATTATTCTTGCATTGTTCCGTTGTACTATTTAAACTTGGATAAATTTTAATTTGGTTATTTGTTCTCTGAAGAAGTGACTTACATTAAGTCACGAAACGTCAGAAAATCCAATTTTCTACTCATTGGGATATTACAAATATATTATTTTTATTTATGATTTAGGTGTTAATGTCTTATCTTTTTGCTCCCTCCAGCACTAATAATCTCCGAGATCATAGCAAGAAAGTTCACAAACCACGATCTAATAAACTTAAAGTGGGGTCCCGTTTTTCTCATCGAGTAGTCAATGATTGGAACGCCTTACCCGAACAAGTGGTATCAGCCCCATCAGTGAATATTTTCAAGGAGAAGCTGAACCTTCACTGGAAAGCAATGTATCAGGATTAATACAGGTTCACCAACCTAATTTCCCTATTAATGAAGACTGAAGGCTTATGGGTTTTCACATTGTGAATGTTCAGAGCTAAACGATCCTCAAACCACTCTGAGTGGTATGGGAAAATTCTTCACAGAATTGTTGTGCCACACAGATGCTCGCAGCCTACTAGATAAAATGGCGGGGCTTTAAAACGTGTTAACACAGAAAACATGGATGTCATTACCATCTCAGAAATAGTTAACGTCAGAAGTGTATGATAGTGATATTCCATTGCTTGGTTTCTTACTTAGTAGGGCTGATAAACTAAACTGTAGGGATGGTGGGATTGTCCCGTACACGAAAAGCACCTTAACCATATGGGATGTTGATACAGTGGCAAACGACCCATGAACATGAACTGGTGAGTAGCCAAAAAGGTAAACGGCGAGACATGCAATTATTTGTAGTATACCGCGTTCCAGAATGCGTAGGAGAGTACAGGAGCCAAAATTGAGTAGAGTACCCACAGAGTACAGGATTTTACATCGAGTCATCTATTGAAACCTGTTATCCGAGAAAGTGGTGCTCGCCCTTTCGAGTGATTCACTCAAGAGAATGATAGACATACAGAAGCTTACTAGAAAAAAGACTAACATGCCGTGGGCCTTCAGTGCACAATGGACAAATCTGAATCAGAACATTACTATACATCCTACGATTTTAATAGAAGACTCAAGCTCCCAAATTTGGAGCAAGCTTGATCAAATATGGGTAAATTTTAAGAAACGTTTCATTGAAACTGACATCCATGTTAGGTTCTCAAGACCTGATTCTGAGTTGGTAGAGAAAATTCGTAGATCAAGTGGATGATAATGATGGAGTTTTTTCTTTACACGATCAAACCATCTAACTCAGAGAACAAAACCATCAAAAAGACCTGATTCTCATTGGCAACCCATGAAGGGAACGTGGTGATATGAAAAACATGTTTCAAGTGAAAATACTGCATTTTTAGCCGGACAAAGTATTGTTAGAACTAAATTGTGGTGACAAGTGAATACGCACCAAAATAATATTTATCATTAAACTGACCTAGGGAACCAATGTCAACCTTGAAGTTTTAAATTGTCATCTTCAGACGACAAACTCAAACATGGGCTTAGCAAAAGCAAAAAGTAACCACCAAATGGTTCAAATGGTTGTGGATGGAATAGAAAAAGCTTTCGCTTAATGGGCTTTCGCGTCTAGTAGCAGTGGATCACCAATACTTTCAAGCAGGAACCTAGGTATATTAACGATAAAAGAGGAAAAAGAAATTGGTAAATCATAGTATGATACTATCCTTAGTCCTTAAGAATAGATCAAGTTTTTTCTTAAACGACTCCTGAGAAGTCGCTTGGACTAGCTCATCCAGCAGCGAATTCCAGCATCTGACTACTCTTAAGGAATAGAAGTTGTATCTACAGTCTGTTCTCCTATGTTGTATCTCCAATTTCTGGGTGTTACCCCTGAGGTTAGTGTTGGAACTAAGCTTGAGTAGGTGTTTAAGAGGATGTCCAGAAGTGTTAAGGATACTGCAAGCCATTAGAAGGTCACCTCTAAGATGCCTATACTCTAATGGGTAAAGGTTAAGTGATTGGAGGCACTCTTCATTAGGTTTAAATTTGAGTACTCGAACTGATTTCGTGGCTTGCCGCTGGATACGCTCCAGAGTTTTTTTATCTGTTCGGAGTGAGGGAGGAAATACTATGTTTCCATACTCTAAATGGGGACGAGTAAAACTACTGAAAGTTCTTCCGTCAAACTGGCCAAGAATGCGCCTCATTGTTATCAGTGCAAGGTTTTCTCGAAAGGCATTTCCGTCACAGTTAACGTAGGACTTTGGATCGTATGGCACCACGACTCCTAAAACTTTTTCTACTTTGGATACTACCAGGGAGGAGTTTCATAAGTTGTAACTTTAGTCTGCAACGTGTTGCAGATGGGCTACTTCATATGGCCTATCCGGATGCATGTGGATTCCAGTTGGCAACCGACGTCTGTTGGCACGAAATGCTTCCAGAGTTGCAGCCGCCATATGGGAGGATGGTAAAGCAATTTTCATTAGCCGGGGTCTAGAATCACTGTCCCTTTTGGCTAGTCTCGTCACAAGTTGAGTCAGTATGTCTTTGAGTCTCAAGGACTGTTTGATGAATTTCCATTCCCTAATATCAGAGCTTACTTGATTAGGGTCCGTATTTTCCGGTACACCTTGCACGATTATATTTATTCTGCGGAAAAACGTCCCGCGAGATTCTTCAGGGATGTTCCGGATGAGATTGAGCTCAGAATACGGTATGTTGGGCAGTATTCTTACGTCCCCATCGGATTTCAGTAAATGACTAGCTAGCAAGACATCCTCTACGTCGGTATCATTCTTACGTGTCACACAAAGTAGCCTCGGGTTATTCTGACGCTTAGATTCCTTCCCCCGAGTGAGCCGTGTGACCGTTTAAGGCTCTATTCTAGGAAGTTCAAGTTTCATGTTCAATTCACACCAGAGCATCCTGTCATTTTTGTCTTGCAAACTAAGGTGAAGGTCAGAGTCGTCTTTGAGGTTTATGATTATGAGAGAGATATCGCGAACAGTTATTGTTTTCCCAGGTTCTCTGGTCCGTTCAGGTTCAGCGCCATGTTGCTTGGAGGTCGAAGCACGTTTCTGAATCCTAGGCTCTTTGATTACCGGACGGACATTTTTGGGGTTAGACTATGCGACTAAATCACCAGCTGATTTCCGTACAACACTTGGGATGTTCAGCTTAGATAGGGACGCCTGGTTCTTTTTAGCTCTGTTAACGTGGGTCCGATCACCCACAGAGGTTTTGTGAACCACTGTTGCATTCAGGGACGCTGAGCTGTGAGACCCAAGTTTACGGAGGGAGTCTATTACCGTCGACGAAATGATGGTGCTGAGTTTCAGCACGTCATCATTAGTGCTAATGTATGCTCTATCGACAGTATACCTGTCGACATCTCTATCCCTGTTTTCGTTGAGCGCCCTTGTTTGTCTACCCGTTTTATGACTGTCATTTTCCAAGTTTGCTGACAACTTATTCGGCAGATCTGTCAATAGGACAATGATGTTGCTCAGCAAAACTACAGCATCCGTGGAGATTTGTAGCTCAGGAGGATGACTTTGGTGGAGTTTTGTTCTCTGAGCTGGATGGATTGGTCGTAGAGCTTTCATCGTTCATCTGAACGACACCATCAGCACAAACTTCAGATAGAAGTGAAGTGTTCGAATTTCTGCATATGTGTTTCACGTCTTGTTTTGTGCACATCGATTTCGATTGGTTCTTGTTGACATTAAATGTATCATTGTTCACTACTTTGTTTTGGTTATGTCCCCCATTGGTTTGAGTTTTGTTCCTACATTTATGCATGATTTTCCTGATTGGTTGATAAATTGGATTGATTTCAATATGTTTGTTGATTGCTGATTGACCTGAGTGCCCGGCTTCTAAAAATTCTCTGGTGTTTTTCGAGTTTCCTCTGTCTAAGATTTCTACATTTTCCCAATCGGATGAGTGTCCGTAGTTATCCATGTGTATTGATATAAGTGAAGAGATATCATGGCGTTTGACTGCTAATTGATGTTCATGTAAGCGTAGGTGAAGGTGGCGTCCGCTTTGTCCGATGTAGTGTTTGTCGCAGTTGGTACAATTTATTTTGTAGATGATGTTTGATTTGATTTCTTTTGTTATTTCATCCTTTGGTTTTCATAGGATTGATTGTAGTGATTTTGTTGGTTTGTGTGCCACACCTATCCCGAAGGTTTTCAGTAGTCTTGTTGCGGTTTCTGATATTCCTTGTATATACGGTAGGGTGATCCCTTTGTTGATTTTTGTGCTTGACTTGGGTTCTGATGCTGTGTGCCGTTGGTGCTTTTTGATGAAGTTGATTGGGTAGCCGTTCTTTTGAAATATGTCCCTCAGGTATTTCTCTTCATTTTTTCGTGCTGCCAGTGTGCTGCAGTGTGTCTTCGCCCTCTTGAACAATGTGTGTACGCAGTTGATTTTATGAGCTATTGGGTTGTTGCTGTTGTAGTTGAGAATTTGATCTGTATGGGTCGGTTTCCTATATACTTGAGTTTCCAGTTTTCATGTGTCAATTCTAGTGATCAATATATCCAAGAATGCTAGTTGGTTGTTTGACTCCTGTTTCATTGTGAACTTGATGTCATTGAAAACGTTGTTGATCAGTTTGTATGTGTTTTCCTGTTCATTCTTTTTGACGATGACGAAGGTGTCGTCTACGTAGCGAATCCAAATTTTTCGCTTGATCATTGGTAATATCGTGGCTTCTAGTCTTCGCATCACTGCCTCTGCGATCACTCCACTCTACAGCATCCGTGCTGCACGTAACACATTCCTAATTATGATACGGTTGAGAAAAACTGAACTAGCCTTTACGTGAAAACCTGAAAACAAGACAGAATTGTGGTCTGAGGAAAAACCACAGTTAACTACTAACTTGGGTGAAACTAAAAAAGTAATCTAACGAACGTATAGCTCAGGATAGATTCTTCTGATCAGAAGTGGTACTTTAATTGCGTAATAACACAGCTAAAGTTTGATAAATGCAAATCACGTTAGGACTAAACTTCGCGTTCGAAAAGCTATAAATCTGAATCTCGCTTTTTGAAGTAACGACAGCTTCTGCATATTTTACTGGAGTCTACTCAATTAAAATCTATTTGGTAATAATGGCAAAACAACCTAGCCACAGATTTGGGAAGTAGATTAACTTGATAGGGCGACGTTTAGCCGATATTACTGAGCTAGAAGCATGTTAACTTCGTTATGGGAAGCAGATACGACAGGAATATCCTCACTCAGTATGTTCAGTGTGTGATATTTGTCTCTCTTAATTATGTATCTAAACGTTGTTCTACCTTCCTCAAACTTAAACAAAAGAGCACAACAACTCATTCTACTCTGACTTCATTTTGGGGCATATTTATCGTGGGCTTTTATGTAAGATGATACATTCCCAGGACTACGGGATATAGGCGATTCATTCCATGCTTAACGTTCACTCACAGTGACTTCTCATACGTTAGACGTTGGCCTCTGAAACTAACATGGAGTTTAGTTCCTGATTACTAGAAAAGTGTGTCTCGGTTCACGAAGTGAAGACGTGTGTTTTAAAATAGGTTCTGCTATTCATCTACATCTATGAAGTCTTGTTCCTGTGTTTATAGCATTTTCTCAAGCTCTGTTCCAATCCACTTTGTAATCATTTCTATAGTAGATTTGAACTAGGCTTACATGACCGGTGATCAATATGCGAGGAGACTGAATGATAAAAGAGTGCGACTAATACGCAAATATAGCTTTGAGACTGCATTGCACAGATCAGTGTTCCAGTATAATTCATAGGAAACTCTTAGTCCACTCTATAAAATCTGCTGGATATTCTTACGTCCATCTTTCTCTGCCTGCACTCATAATCACAGTTCCTCTCAAGTTGTATTGTCTTCACCCTTATATTCCCCGAATAAAAGTCCTACTAACATTATTGCCTCGTTCCGTATTTTCTAGAACAACTTTTTTGTTGAGCTGTCGTCTGTTATTTTGCCTTATTTTTGATATTTCTTATAATTACTCCTCATTTTTGAGTTCATATTGAAGTATTTAATAGTAGGCCTATTATATCTGGACGTACTACAGAAGTTAGTCGACTTACACAAAAAAACGCACTCCACTCCATAATCTATCCATTTTTCTGGAAGATAATGTAGAAGCAACTGTATCTCCCCATAAAGTAGCAACAAATGTAACCAGTGAAATCATCCACCGACTGCATAAAGCCGATATAATGAATAAGGTTGGCTACCTTATCTGAAACATCTCATCGTTTAGAGTCCTTACTTACTTACGCCTGTTACCCATAGTGGAGGAGTATTTAGTGACCAGTTGATCTGACTCCAAGATCGTACGAATGGTTGTTATCGCCTATTCTCGTATATAATCGTCGACTTAATCGCGTTAGCCAATAACGGAATTAAATAAGTCGAATAAGGAGAATTGATTTGTGAATACATATATTTTGTATATGAAGTGAATGAAACAGGGCGAAGTAAAATGACACGCAG